AGTGATAGCTAATTATTTAAGAAGAACATTCATGTAGCCAATCCCACGTAGTAGGATTAAGGCCTTGTTGTTGTTGTATCAATAAAACTCGACATTTCATCTTTTTAATTGAGTTATATCTTTATAATTTATTACCATAGTGATAGCTAATTATTTAAGAATTTCACTGATACTATATGCCATGTGTCATGCCCACCTAGAGCTTGATGCAGCCAAAAATGCACTTATGCATCAATTATAGAGTAGAGTTGCTCGTTAGATGACATTATTCACATCCGTAAGCCAATATTTGATAGAACATACATTAATCATCAATATGTTATGAAAGTACTCACCAAACAACCCTTAAGATCTCATAGTTGTCACCGGCTCCCGTGAGAAACAATTATAAAAATGAAAGACTTATTGGTTAGTCGAGGTCTGTTGAATAACATGAAAAATATACTCGTGGTTGAGTGATTAGGGATTTTTCCAAGAGTAGCACATAAAAAAAATTACATAGAATTGCAAATTTTTTTTGGCACTCTTTAGAAATAATCAATAGATACTCTAATATGTTGCGATCAATTATTTTATTATTGGACAATTTTATTAACATACTCATAGCTGAAGTAGGCTGACATTTAAATTCAATTGCATTGATTTGTTTTAGTGTGAAGCAAAGGGTACGAAAAAAAGAAAAAATTTGTGCAATGTGTCACGCCTCACCATTTTCAAGGCAAAGACAAGACAAGCATGGGAAGGAAAACTCTAAAGGATGCACGCATGGCAAGAACCATCTAGAGCCAAAGAAGGTGGATGAGAAAGTTCCATACAACTCTATAGACTTCTACCCAATTCTAGAGGTCAAAGGAAGGCAATACTCCATGAAGAACTCAAGGATGGAGCATGGAGAGTTCAAGAAGAAACTAGAAGTATCTAGGATCATGTATTTATGTAAGTATTGTATGGAATACTCAAGAAAGTAGGAAATTCTAGAATATTCTCATGGCTTGGAGGGAGACTATAAATAGAGGTCTCTCCCCTCATTTGTAATCACCTAAGAAAGCATTCAAGCTTCCAAGTGTTGTAATTTTTCTTTCTTGGTGAAGTGTTCTTATCTCCAATACTTCTCCTACACTTCTCCTCAGAGTATTTTGTGCTTACAAGTCCAAGTGTTGTGAGAATTAGGCCGACTTAGTGCTAAAGAAGAGCACTAAAGGCGCACGGGTGACTTGGGGAAAGTTAGTCCGTGACAGTTGGTATCAGAGTCTCGTTTCGAAGGTATGGCAAAGAGTATCAAAAAGCACGCAATAGAGTCTGAAGCCACAAATGTGGACTAAAGGTGCACGGGTGACTTGGGGAAAGTTAGTCCGTGACAGCTGGTATCAGAGCCTCGTTTTGAAGGTATGGCAAAGAGTATCAAAGAGCACGCAATAGAGTCTGAAGCCACAAATGTGGCAACATCTTAACAAGGGCAAGGTCGCTAGTAGCAAAGAGATCCCGTTGCATCTAAGCCACATGGGAGGTCCAAGGAGAGCATGCATGGTTTTGATTTGCGTCTTGCTCGGATGGAGGAGGATATGAATGACATGAAGGGCCAAGTAGAAGATCTTGACCAAAGTGTTGATGGACTCGAGGAAGAGGATGTCACCATCCATTCAACGATTAGAGTTATGATGCTCCAACTTGAGAAGACCCTAAACCACATGGGAGGTCCAAGGAGATCATGCATGGTTCTGATTTGCGTCTTGCTCGGATGGAAGAGGATATGAATGGCATGAAGGGCCAAGTAGAAGATCTTGACCAAAGTGTTAATGAACTCGAGGAAGAGGACGTCACCATCCATTCAACGATTAGAGTTATGATGCTTCAACTTGAGAAGACTTTACTAGGCTATATGGCTAAGGTGCAGGAGGATTTGTTGGGGAAGCTCCAAGAGCTGCGAAGAGCCTATGAGGAGGACTAGCTTAGAGGAGATGTGAGGAGACATTTCACTGTGCAAAAGGGCAATAGCGGAATCCATAAACCATCTCATGCTATGCTTTGGTGGAGAAGAAGAAAATGAGATGTGGAGAAAGGTTTGTGCTCTATGTCCACTTTCAATGACTTCAAGAGAGAGCTAAAGAGGCAGTTCTACCCCGAGAATGTCGAGGATGAGGCTGGACCCCGATTGCGGAGGCTCAAGCAAGAGGGATCGATTTGGGAGTACATTAGGGAGTTTACAAGCTTGGTCCTCAAAATGATGACTTCAAGAGAGAGCTAAAGAGGCAGTTCTACCTCGAAAATGTCGAGGATGAGGCTAGACCCCGATTGTGGAGGCTCAAGCGGAGTACATTAGGGACTTTACAAGCTTGGTCCTTGAAATTCCTGATATGTCAGACAAGGATGTTTTGTTCAACTTCATGATGGGCTCCAACATTGGAAAAAGACCGAGCTCAGGAGGCAGGGAGTGCAAGATCTTGTCATTGTCATCGCGGCTGCTGAAAGCTTAGTTGATTATTCAAAGGAGTCTATAAAGCCTGAAGATAAGAAAAGTTGTGATGCCAAAGGTGGAGATGACAAGGGCAGAGAAATGTCGCGAATCAACCCCAACAAAGGCAAGGGACAAGGGGAAGGTTAACAAGAAACCATATAAACCACAACAAATCGCTACATTCTTTGTATAAGAAAAGTTGTGATGCCAAAGGTGGAGATGACAAGGGCAGACAAATGTCGCGAACCAACCCCAACAAAGGAAAGGGACAAGGGGAAGGCTAACAAGAAACCATATCAACCCCAACAAATCGCTACATTCTTTGCGAAGGACCTCATTAGGCAAGGGATTGCACTCAAAAAAAGACCCTCAACTCTCTCCTTGCAAGTCATAAGGAGGAAGAAGATAGTGATAGGGAAAGCTTGTGGGATCCCTTCAACTGCTGAACGGGATGCAAGCACTGACAAATCCTTAAGGGAAGGGGTTACTCTTTGTGGAGATGACAATAGGAGGGAAGACCACCAAGGCAAAGGTGGATACGGGTGCTTCCCACAACTTTATCCCCAATGAGGAAGCAAAGAGGTTGCGGTTGCAGATGACTAAAGGAGGGGGCTCCATTAAAGTCATCAACTTAGCAGAGATGTCAAGGGAGTCAAGACCAGCATTGGGGAATGGTCAGGTACTCTAGACTTCTCCGTCATTCCTTTGGATGATTACAAAGTTGTCCTAGGAATGAACTTCTTGAAGCAAAGGCATTTCCAATGTTATTTGCCAATAACCTATGCATCACGGAAGGAAGTCAAGCTTGCTCAATACCGATAACTAGGTTAAGCAAGCAAGGATCCAAAACGCTATCAGCAATCCAGCTCAAGGATGGCATTGCTCAGGACAAAGAAGATAACTTGGCTATCCATCATGACACCAATGAAAGGGAAAAGGCCCAAGGAGGTGGAGGTTCCTAATGAACTACCGCCAAGAAAGAAGAAAGATGGTTCAACAAGGTTGGAGGCAAGGAATAAGCCGCCAGCCAGAAAGACTTGTTGCAAGACACCACTCTCCCATAACACCAAAGAGAAACCAAAGTCTGCCAAGTCTGGGGGCAAACCGAGGAGGCAGTTTCGAAGGTGCAGGGGAAGCCACAATGAGGGCATTGCGAGTTTAAGTGGGGGAGATTGTTACACCCTGCCATTTTCAAGGAAATGCCAAGACAAGTATGGAAAGGAAAACTCTAGAAGAAGCACGCATTACAAGAACCTTTTGGAGCCAGAAAAGGTGGATGAGAAAGTTCCACATAACTCTAGAAACTTCTGCCCAATTCTAGAGGTCAAAGAAGACAATACTCCATTAAGAACTCAAGGATGGAGCATGGAGAGTTCAAGAAGAACTTAGAAGGATCTAGGATCATGTATTTATGTAAGCATTGTATGGTATACTTTAGAAAGTAGGGAATTCTAGAATATTCTCATGGTTTGGAGGGAGACTATAAATAGAGGTCCCTCCCCTCATTTGCAATCACCTAAGAAAGCATCCAAGCTTTCAAGTGTTGTAATTTTTCTTTCTTAGTGAAATGTTTCTTTCTACAATACTTCTCCCTACACTTCTTCTTAGAGTACTCTGTGCTTACAAGTTTAAGTGTTGTGAGGATTAGGCTGATTTAGTGCTAAAGAAATACGCTAAAGCCGCACGGGTGATTTGAGGAAAGTTAGTCCGTGACAAATGGTTCTCTACTAAAAAAATATTAGTTAGTGTTTTATGTATTTAATTTATTACTAAATATAATGGATGTTGATGTTAATGTCAGTTGTTTGTTTCATGTCAATATTGTACGTAATTCCATTTAAACATTTTTGGTTGTCCTTGAAACTTTATTTGTTAGAAAATGTTTGTGTTTTAGCTTATTCCATAGCACTACATAGTCTCTTTGGTGAATTATTGCATTGTCTTGCAAAATTTTCTTTATTTAATTTTTTTTGAAATCTTCTAAAATAAATTTTTCTCGCGGTAAAATCCTTAAGCTTTTTCACTTGACAAAAGTTGACGCAACATGCTTTAACTTGTTAACTAGTAAGTATTGCAGTGAAACTCTAACTAAGAAGTACTTAGCTAAGCATGTTACTAAATAATGATTACTGTAGTTAGAAATAATAAAAAAACCAAATCAAGCTATAGTAGACTTTAAATTTATATCATTAATAATTAAAAATTAATTCCTATTTCAGCTATTTAAGCCCTGAAATAATATGGCAAATAGTTTCTAAGGATTTAACAAGATTTAACATCTACTACATTAACCATTATCAGAATTTAGCTACCACAAGATTTGATAAATTTGAATTTATATTTACTCAAATCTTACTTGAATTAAATCTGCTTGCAGAAAAATAGCCCCTTACAGTCAAAGTAACTCCAGTGTTCCTTAAACCCTAAACCCAACAAATGAAGTTACTTCAGGGAGAATGCAGCACTCTCCATACACTCAAATACTACCCCGACAGCAAAATGAAGAAAACACAGAGGTGGCTGAAATGAGAAATCATAAGAATACCAATTATCACGGATGTGGAAAGCGTGGGCATGATGGAGAAGGAGACCCTGGCCTCCGTTAGTGGGGTCGCCGGCAAAGGAGGGAACGATAGGTGAAGCCATGAAGCGATGTTGGAAATCGAGCTGCTTGGAGCGAGAAAGGCGGCCACCGCGGGAGACCCCCAAGGGAAGCGGGTCCCCTGGTACCGCTCGCGCTATCCCCTCCATCGTCACAGGCGCCTCCACGTCCAGCTCCCATCCGCCACCGTCTACCGCCCATCTTAGGCGCCTCATCCTTCTCCACTGTCTCTCTGCCTGTGCCGGTGGCCCGGTACTTTTTGTAGAAATTTTACATACTTACCACTCCATATAGGGTCTGCCCTTTCTATACATAAGAAAATGCATTTTATCACTTAAAATTTAAAATGAGTGGTATATTTTAATGTGACATGAAATATTAGATAGATGGTTAGATATATAAATACATAGAATTGGACTATATATGTAAATGCCCCATTTTTTGGGCATTTGCATACACCACCCAATTGCTATGTATTTAGATTGCTAACATCTAATCTTTGTTTTTTTTTCATTTATAACGCTTGAATCTTTTATATAATATAAAAGATAACATCATTATAACTTTTAGAAAGTGAAACACATATTTTTATACCTATATAAGATGTTATGTGTGTAAAAATTGAAGCTTTTATGTTAGATATGTAAATACATAGGAATGGAGTAGTATGTATTTGAATCTTCCTTTTTTTGTTTGCACATTAATTTCATATATATATTCATGGTACTTATCATTAATAACATATCAAAAACATTATTTTCTTAAAAGTGTTATACACATTTTCATGCATAGAGTTACAACATTAAATTGTTGTAAATATAAATATGAAAGTTTATGTGTTAGATATGTAAATAAATATAAGCATGCAAAATTTCCCAATTTTTTTTAGCAAATATGATTAAAAATTTTATTTTGAGTTGAAAATTTTCAATGTTGAATTATGTGTCATACGATTTCATGTTTATATGAACATTAAGACACTTGTCTATCTCAAATCCTTCTGTTTCAAAGCTTTTCTTATTTTTTAAAGCCTTCATGAATATCTTAGTCGCAATCTCTTTTATGTGATGTATGATATTAAATTCATTAAAGGCTAAGGGTTGTTCAACTTAAAATCCATCCATATGATCATTTAGGGCAATTTCAATGAATTTAACTGTTCATCTTTTAGCTTCACCTATAAGTTTAGATGTGACATTCCGACACAAGTTATTGCATTATTACAAGCGTTTTCACAACTTCTTCCTCTACCAGTTTAAGTAGGGCATATTTGGGGGTTATGAGGAAAGATGAGGATTTTGGATTATAAGTGAACACCAAAAATGTGTACCACCCAACTCCTTCTCAGCACTAGATTCACTCTTCTTTGGAGCCTCTCAGATCAAATATAATGATTTCTCCTACTCAACCCTCTCGGACATCTTAGGCTTCTTGACAAGTTTCTTCTCCTGCTTCTTCCTCGACTCACCCTCTGGGTTGCGGTGTTTCTTCACCTCGAGAGCGGCCAACATATTCTTCTGGTCTATGGGTTTAAGAAATGGATCTGATTTCTTCTCAAAAAGGGTGTCTTCAGAAGTCGAGCAATTACAAAGAGAGACAAATGTGGAATGTTGTGAAAGTTCACTAAGCCCTATTTATAAGGGTCATGGGCACGGAAACCCATGGAGTCTAATCATTGCTTTAATTATAACTATTAAGATTCGTTTTTTGCTTTAAAACTCCATTATTCTTATCTTAACATTTGTTATCAAGAAGCAAGAGAATCAGCAAACTAATATATATATATATATATATATATATATATATATATAT